AATTAACAAGTCCCGTTGGGAAAACTTCTAATAAGTGAAAGAACTATTTTGTTTTGCTGGACCATTTTGTTAAATTTAATGTTGAATAGATAAATATTTTATTTTTGTTATATCTGAAAATAAAATATTTTCTTGGTTTTCTGGTTGTTTTTTTTTTCAAGTGTAAGCTCTAAGTTCAACTTTGCACTTCAATTGCGGCCCGTAGTTTGGGGGCGCTGGTGCAAATTAATGGATTCATTCAGCATTTTGGCAGCTGCCGGTCCGCGGCGAAGTTCAATGTTTATGTTAACAACTTGGCACCTCGAAGAGGTGCGGGGACTGGCGGAGGAGGGTGTTCCTCTTTTAATTGAATTCCTTGTTTAATTTATCAATTAGAGTGTGGCCTTTGTTAATTAAAGACTGGCTGGCTTAAATGCTGGTCAAATTAGCGGCCAACTAGCATGGCCATTTGGGCCACAGTCAGGAAACAAAGAAACCACAAATTGACCGGGCTGGTATTGTCTGTGTTTTTCGTTTTTCGAGTTTTATTCTCCTATTTTCGGGGTGTGGACCAGGGCGAGTCCCTGGCTCTGCCAAGAAACAAATGCTAATTATATGGCTACCGAGTACGTTTCCCTCCGTACGAAGCTCCTATTGATTCTCGACGCTGGGCAAGGTTATGATTTCGTATTCGCATTCGCGTTTGCATTCGCGTCTCCCTCTGTGCTCCTCCAGCGGTAGCCACGCCCATTTAATTGCCACCTAGCATTTAAGTTAACTAACTGTTCATAAATAGTTATGGCATACACGGTCAGGCGGGCTTTTGAGCTCAAAGCCCGGCTGCGCCCACAAAACGCGGCCAAAGCGCCGCTCAGTACCACAATTCTGCAGTCATTGCAGCGCTTTTTTCTTTAGGTCTTGCCATTGTCAGCGCAACAAATTTATTTTCCCACTCTCTGCTGGAGTTGTAGATTTACGCTGCTACCGCTGCGGCTGCCGCTGCCATTGCCTAAACAAAAATTAGTTAATTTAGCGCATTTGCTGGATTTTAGCACTGCTGCTGCCAATTTGATTTGCAGGTCAATTGCTGATTGCTTTATTAACCGTTATTTCGCAGTGCGAGCAATGTCCTTGGTACACAAGAAAATGGCTTCCGCAGTGCATGAACTAAAAAATTATTAATGGTTTCTAGAGTAAATATTGGGATTGTTTGCAATGAGTTTCAATATCTTTGGGTGCAGAAAAAATGGAGCACTTTATAAAATCCATTAGTTTATATCGACATTTATTTAGCTTGAGGATAGGGCACAAATTGGCCATTTACAAAACAAATGTTAGCTGAAGGAGTGTATACTGAAGCCCAAACTTGGGTTTATCTTAACGAAAACTATATTTCTGTTAAAAGCCTTAAAATTTATAGGTGTTGTAAATACCAACCAACTCCCCATTTCGTCATTGACTTAAGATGATGTACCGTTTTGGTTCCCATTGTCGTCTAAGTTTTCACCTTAATTGAATTATGCGTCTGGGCTTTTAAATTAGTCCAGCAAGAGGCTTCCCACCTTCATAAATTTCCCTTATGCAAAGCGGAGCATATGCAGCCAGATTTTTGGCTCCCAGGCATAAATCACTCGGCTCAAAGGAGACCCCACACACAATTGAACTCGAGGGGCGGCATTTCTATTCATGCGTGGATTGTTCAGATCTGCCCCAACATTTGGAGGTGTCGTTTATGCAAATACGCCACGTCAAATCCCGCAAAAAACTAAGACCCAACACGCCCAAAATGTCGCAGTGGATGTCAGAGGGCGTATAAAGTGGGGTCTAATTGCCAGAGATCGTATGGGATATGTTCCATTGTGAGGCTGAAATCGGGCTAAATGCAGGCTCGAGAATGACTGAGTGTGTTCGAGTGGCGCATTTGCATAAATTAAGCCACTTGAAGCCGATACTGATGTGGATATCGATGCCGTGTGTCAATCAGCGGCGCATGCAAATCAATCAGCCGATGGACAAGTTATTCGTCATACACCTGACAGTTGGCCACAATTTATGAGCCAGCAGCAGGCCACTTAACAAGCGAAAAGCACAACACGATAACAATGGCCACAATAAACAAGAAATAAATGACCACAAAAAGAGCTTGGGCCGAGTTTGCATTGCTTTCGATGCGTCGTTAGGAGATGCGTTAATCACATTTATTTATATCTATTTATGGTCACTGAGTGCCCGGCCCTCCCAGCAGAAAACAGCGTCAACAAAAAGTGAATGGTTTTTATGCTGAGCCATACATCAGCTGCTCCGACGACTGGTACCATCCCATACAATTATGACTTTACACTTTGTGCCACCTTTTGGGTGGTTTACGATCCGGCGGTCAGCGTTTTATGGCCCATCGTTTAGGCCCGGCTAATGGCTGTTAGCTTTGAAAAACTGTTGACACTTCACTGGTTACCGACGACCCTCTTCCATAAGCCAAAATATCAATAAATGCTCGTAAAACGTAAGCCCCTCAAAGAAGTTGCCAAAAAAGATCTGGGTCTGCTCATTTCCGCTCTTCTCGACCAAAGGAATATAAGAGCTGGCATCGTGTTAATGCCGTGCCAAGATGGTCCACAAAAGGGACCAAGCTCGTGGACCGACTTAGGTATTGTCAGGGGATTAGGCATTAGTTGAGACTTGTTCTCGGCTTATATAGGGAGGATCTGCATACGATTATCATTTGGCGATTTGAGTGGGCTTGCGGAGAAATCGTGAATGAAGTAGATCGCACAGAAGTCATGAATGAAATACTGCTTTTGTCAACAATTTTACTACCCGCGGAACCCAAACAAAAATTCATTCACTAAACTCTATAGATTTCTCTCTACTTTTAGTCACCAATATGGGTGGGAAATGTAAGCACCCTAGCAACTTTGTTACGTTTTTTCAAAGGCAGGAACCCCACCCATTGGGAAACCCATAAGGAAAATGTAAAAAGAAAAAACAAATAAACGCTCAACCATTTTGGCAATTTGGAGCAGAGCAAGCTGCAAGAAATGTTGAAATACTTAACAAAATCCACAAGTAACGACAACAATAAAAAATAAACGAACGTTTTTATAGCTTTTCAATTGATTTTAAAGTTTTTGGCGTGCAGAGCAATAAATAAAACTGCGTACGGCGCATTATACAATAATAAATCTCCGAAACCCCGTCCCAAAGTCGTATGCGTGTTTGAGTGTGTGTGTGAGTAAGTGCACTTGTGCACAGGTATTCGCAGGTATTCACAGGTATTCGAAAAAAGTGGGCGTGCTGCGTGTTTCGTTGTTGGCAGCGCACTTTGCGCATTAAAATGCCGCGCATGCGTGCCAAAGTGTTGCAACGTCAGTCAGACAAATGCCCCGCTCCCTTCGACAGGATGTGGGATACAGATGCAGATACAGATCATGTTGAGCAATATCCCCAAACTCTTCTGACTGACCTGCCCGTCAATCGGAAGCGAACCCCTCTCCGACTCGTAATTAATGCTGCACTTTTATTCATAATAAATTCACTTTAAATGCATGTTTTCTCGCGCATTAAAAGCGCATAAATTTAAAATCAACACCCAAATGCGTCAACAGGCGTCTCGCGAGCTGCGTGTGGCGAAGTTTCATGGGACGGGGGGATCTCTTGAAGAAGTGGCCATGGCCATGGCTGCCTCATCACTCATACGCAATGAAGACATTTATATGGCAAAAGCCATTTGCGCCAGCATAGTTGTCGTTGGCGCTTCTTTTTGGCGCCACCAGTGGCAGTTGGCCCGTTCAGGGGTGTGGCCAAGGGGGTTTTGTGATTGCGGGTGGAAATATTGCAATGTTTTTGAGGAAAAAAGTAGTCATTTGAGTTTTAGGTAACAATCAAAAGTTACAGGCATTCCCAACATACTTAAAAATGTGATTACTCAAAATTAAAATTTTAAAAGCCCTTAAAATGAAAATATGTTTTTAATTGCGATTTTTTAACAGTAGAGTTCGATTAATCATGTCTTTCACTACTTGTAATTGGATACCTCCTTTTGGCAGTTATTAATCACATTTGCTTCTTAATTTATAGAAAATAGTTTTTAATTTTCTTTTTGTAATATACTCGTAAAACATCAAATTCACATCAAATACGATTAAAAACCCAACTAAATTTAATAGGAAAATAGTTTTTTGTGTTCAATTTATACCTCTCTTATAATTTCAAAAGTCATCATAATATTTGGGGATGCCCTCAGTTATATCTTGGGAAACAAGAGAATCAAAGATATGCTACTTTTTAACTCTTAATAACTTGTTGAATGATAAACCTCAGATTACTGGTACTAAATTTTGCTGTGTTGCAATTCTGAGATCCGCTGACCATTCCCACGAGCCTTCCTCTCCGGCACGCCCATGCTTTGGGCCTGCTCACGCACTGGCACTGACCAGCTTCTTTTGGCCATCCAGCCAGTGGCCAACTTGCTGCTTATCTGGGGGACTCGACCATTTTCTAGCCGCCACAACACACGCAATGGGCGTCGCCAGGCACCTGTTCCAGCGGCAGCAATCGTCCGATGAAATCAGAGCAAGTATCTGTGAGACTGCTCTGTAGAGTGCAGTATGGAGTATGAAGTATACACTCAAACGACTTGTATCTATGCGATGACAGCGACTTGTGCGTTGGCTTCGCCTGTGGAACATGTTAATTCGAACGTTGCATAAAAGAGGGAAAACGGAGTAACGCTACATGGCAAACCGTTGGCTGGAAGCTGCTCCTTATTTTATGTAATTGCCAGCTAAACACTTTCGGCCGCAATCGCATCCACTGCCCCCCCTTTTAAAATGTGGATCGCTCGTCGTTTATGTCTAATTAAAATCGCTCTGCGTGCCGGGCGTGCCAAACGCTAAACTGAACTGAACTGGTGGTGTTTTTGTCATTAAAGCAGAGTGTACTTATATGTACTTGTATGTTAAGTGTGCTGATTTGTATTGATTATAACGCTTTAATGTTGCTTCACTTGAAACTATTTGCAGTGCACTCTACACTAGCTGGCATTTCCTGCGCGCACATTCTTCCTGCTCCGCCGGGGCGGCCAAAGTAAGTCAATAAATCTATGCAAAACTTATTATAAGTCATATGACAAACTGCGAGGGGGCATTTTAATTACCTGTTTGCCACACTGAACCAGCTAGCTTAATAAGCCGCCTTAATTTGGCTTAATTTGCGGGCGGCCCCAGGGTCGTATGAGTAACGTTTAATTGCAGGCCAAAACAAAGGCAGCGGCAGCCGCAGCAGCACTCGCAAGAATTTCAGCTGGAATTGCTCATTACGAACGGGCCATTCCTCGGAAATAGCTCCAGTAGCAGGCCGCCATAATAACAATAACAATAATAATAATTAAAAACCGATTTTTTCTTCATTTTTCGCTTCGTTTGTTGGTTTGGCTGGGCCGTAAAAACAACAAGTAACTGGGCTATAAACACATGCCGCATATGTGTGTACGAGCTTACTATATAAATTTGCTTAGTCAAGCGACCATAAACGGCGCCCGAAATACAAAAACAAAAATATATAAACTGGGCGCAGCAGTTCGCCACAAACCGAAACAGAAAATTAAAAACATATAGATCTACAAATCAGATTGCAGCTAAATAATATTGCAATTAATAATTTAGCAATAAAATTTAGCACTCGACTATGGAATTATAACAGCAGCTATTAACGATTAAGCCTTGCCACTTAGGCAGATGCCAAAAGAAAAAAACAACAGAGAGCAACAAAAAATCACTAGCAATGGCAAACAATGTCTGTCCAAATTTTTTGCCAGCCGCATTAGCAACTGCAATTGTTGCTGCATTTTCTGCTGCCACTGGGGTTAGGCAACAATTAAGCAATTTTCATAATTACAAACAATGACCAATTTTTTGACACGCTTGCAAAGCGCGCAACATTTTTTTTGATTTTAACCAGCGGCAACCTGAAGCAGCAACCTGCAACAACAACGGCCAGCAGCAACATTGCAAGTGCAACAGCAACAGCAATAGCAGCGGCGCAAAACGCTGATTTGTGCCTGGCTGCCGGTTGATGCATGTTTAATCAGTTTTAGCCGCAGTTTTAAATGTAAACTTGGCTTGAATGGTTTTTGGTGTAAAACTGTACGCCTAAGGGAATTGATTTTTACATATTCTACAAAAACTTTTATTATAAATTAATTACTTTATGTGAAGGACAAATTCTAAGACTACAATTGTAACATTATTTTTTTTCTATTATAAATATATATATTATATTTTTTTTATATTTTTTAAACGGACATGAACACTTGCAATTTAAGAATTTTTTAGAGAAAAATATATTGCAAATATTTAAATAATACATTTAAAATATAAGTTTGAACAACAAAAATGTAAATAACACAATTTTGAATGCGAGTAAAAACAATAAAAAAACCTAAAATAGAAAATATTTTGATTTGTATTTTTAAAATTTAAATTAATCTCACACCTAAAATTATAGCCAACAAAAAGCGCAATCAGTTTGTTTATTTCTGATTCATTTTATTTAACTCTTCGAAAATCCAAAACCTTTGGACAAAGAGTTTTTCGAGTGCCTCAAAACAGACCAAGATTTTCTGTTTTAAGTAGCCAAATCTGCCGAAAGCGCGCATGTTCACATGTTAAATGGCCCACTAACCATTCGAGGCGCTGAGAGCAGAAGGAAGTACTGCGTCAGCTTCCACCAGACACCAATCACGTGCCCAGCAAATGTGCGGCGGACAATTGACCAGCGGCTGCCACCGACGTGTTGTGCATTAGAGTTGCGATTGTAGAATTGCGGGGCGCGGAGTTAAACCGATTTATATAATCAGCAGCGACACAAAACGTGGCAACATACTGCAAATAATTCGCCGCTTTGGGCAATCTAAAACAATTTGCGTTTTGTGTATCGGACAGACGAAACAGAAAAACACCGAAAAGTACGAGAAACGATTGCAGATTGGAGTGTCTCAGCATTTTGCGTGCTGAGCGATTGGGCAACCGGCTGGCCAGTGGGTGCAGTGCAGCGGTTTTTGACCAGACTGGGGGACATCTGAGCCACGTTGTCCCACCCGCAATTAATGCATTATAATTGCAAGCGAGAAGCGAGTCGAGTCAGCGAATCGAGCTGCCACAAAATGTGCGGCAGGTGTTGCGAGTGCCGGCCAAGTCTCTAGGGTCTTCTGTGGCCACACGATATTAAACAATAATTGTAACTGTAAAGTGAGCTTAACGTGAGTGCATCAAAGCATAATCTCTCTTGCAACAGAGACACAGATACGGCCACAAAGCTGCAGATATAAAGATATATAGATAGAGATACAGATACAGATAGGCCGCAGACGGATGGAAGCCAAAGCGCAGACTGTAAAACAAAGCGCAGAAAAAATATTCATTGAAGAAAAAAGCCAGCCAACAGACAGACAGTCAAACAGAGAAACATACCGACAGACAGACAGACCTAGGAGTCAAGAAACTTGGGTAGTACGTAAAACATACCGCCTTATAATTAGAGCAGAAATTCTGACGTTTCTATTTCAATTTTCCAACAAACGCCACGCAAAACTGCCACGCCAAGTGACGTTTTGATTGAGTGATTGGCAACAAGACGTGGTCTTCAGACCCACTACCAGTGCCAGTACTCTTCGGACCCGGTAGCCAACCAGGCAGCAAGTGTTTGGCCACTGCGGTCGCTCCATGCCGATGCCGATGGTTGCAAATATCTGCATACCAAGCTCTGGAATAACTGAATGAAAATCGTTGTGAAAGAAGGTCTCGAGTTACCCTCGACAACGATCCGCTGCAGGTTGCTGTCGCACTCCAAATCCGGCACGTAATTCAAGCTCAGGAGAAATTTCCACTGCACATGACAACAATTCCAGGGCACTATGGGCAAAAATACACTTTTTTTGGGATGCATTAAAAACTTACTTCTTTAGAACTCATTTTAGAGATCTAGAGACTAGCGGCTTACAAAAATTGTTAATTTGATATATATATGCTATGTTTTAAATTTTGCAATTGCTTATAAATATTTGGCTAATGATTTTGGCAAAAGGTTATTTGTTCCATAAAGCATACATATATATATATATATATATATATATATATATATTTATGGCTGGCGTTACTCTAAAGTATTTCTTCCACATGAAGAATCTCTTAAACTGTGGCCAAAGAAAAAAACAACATCACCTTCTGCCCATAGTGCATTGGATGAAAATATCGGTCGTGTTTACATTGAAGCAGCATTTATAATTATCACAAGACAATTTAGCAGAAAAGCAAAAACGATGTTGGGGCTGCCACACCCACTTTATGCCATACGAGTTCCAAGTGGTAATTGCACCAATTTGAATACGTAATAAAATCGAATGAGCAGCAAATCGATTAGCGATCTAACGCGCCCATTGTGTGGTCGTATCGGATCTTTTTTTCTTTTTTTTTGCCCCATGTGATCGGAGCATTATATAGCCAAAGCTATACTGGCGCACGAGCTAGACGCCGAGACGTTTGTCCGGCTGTCTGCCGATCGGGTCGGATTGGATCGGATCGATCGACTTGCGGATACTGCCACCGCTCAATGTGAAGGTCAGTAGGTGGCGGCCAGCAACTGCAAACAATCAATTAGACTGAATGCCTAAAACGGTAAAATCCATATGTGCACAGAGCACCAGATAGTACGGCTGGGTGCTGGGTAATGTCATGCAAACAGGCTGTCGATCAGGAATATATGGGTGTGCCCGGTCCAGTCAGGCCTCAAGATCAAGGTGAGACTGGACTGGGAACCGGGTGAGCAGGGGAAGTTCTTAGGTTTAAAGCAATAACTTTTTGAAATTCCGGAAAAGATTTGCGGCTAGGTTTCAAATAGCTTAATTTATGTTGTTTACAAAAAACCACGATCCAATTCCGGTTTAAAATAAATCTATTGACTATTGAAAGAGTTCGTATTTATATTTTAAGTAAACTAATTTACAATTTCGAAAATTAACAAACTAATAGTTTGCTGTGTAAACGAGGTATAGTAAAATATGTCTTATAATAAGTAATAATTAAATTTATTGTTAATAATTATTAATTATACATCTTAATGATATTATATGGCTAAATTTTGTATTTTTGTACTAGCAAAAGTTAAAGATTAAAGCAAATATAATGGTTTCAGATAATCTGCGTACACTCAGAGGCTTTATTTGAAGTTAGTTACTTAAGTTAGTAAGAAATTAAAACGCAATTGAATCATCCAAAAATCGAAAACCCAATTTAAAAATATTTTATTGAATTGAACACCATTAGCAGAAAGATGGTCGAGAAACTCTAATGGCAAATATTACCACATGTTGCCAATCAATAATTTTTTCTAAAAATCAGTAATGTCGTAAATTTCCCCCCAATGTTGCGATTGATGGCAGTTCGAAAGTAGCTTCGATGGCTGGATTAGTGTCGCCTTAGCTAATGGCTTGTGGGGCAGTTATGTCGGCCAGATGCTAGTATCATTGTAATTATTAATTGCTTTCTTAGAGCCACGAGATCAAATTCCGCCCACGCCCCCACAAAAACAGAAAAAAACGTGGAGCTCTCGACGCTGCTCCAATTTGATTTGGACTGTTTTGACAGTCTGCAGTTATTGTTTGATGCGCTGTCCAAGTGATGAGTTCATTAAGTGCGCCATAATTGAGCCTTTAATGCTAAAGCTGGGGCCTCGTGAATGGGCGTGCGTTTTGACAGTCAGATTGACTGACTGCCCGAATGGATTGTTGGCTGGTTGGTTGGTTAGTTGGTTGGCTGACTGACAGCCTGACACTGATGGGCCAAGCAGTTGTGGTCCGTAGCTGTGCATTTGGCCCACTGAAATAGTGAAATTGATACAACGAATGTAGGCAAGCGCGAACTGAGCCAACTGCTTTGATGGCCACCACTTCCTGCTTCGCACAGCTTCTTTTATAAGTCCCGCTTAAGTGTATTGGGTTTAATGTGCACCCATTTTAATTAAATCAAGGGCTTGGTTATCTGCTTACCCGCCAAACTGGTAAGACCTCTGGGCCACGACGCTTCTTTCCAAAGCGCAGGGAAATTACTGATATTTGATGCCATCAGCACAAATTTAGGCATCTGCAATTGCTAAGACCACGACTCTATCATATTGATTTCCATGTCCGCGCGTGGCAAATCGAATCGAATTGAATCAAATCGAATCGCAGTCAAGTCCGGACCCAAAGACAGACACAGAGACCAGATGAAATAGATCCGCTTTAATATCGGTAATTAGGACCACACCTATGCCATATTCAAAGTGATTTTTATTACAATCGCAAGCTCTGCAAGCGTTGTTTAGATTCTGACTTATTTTTATTTTTATGTTTATGGCAGCTGCCTTTTGGCCGAAACTCGATTAGTTTCAATTTGCCATCTGTGTGGTGCTATGCTTTATGGCCATTGTTGTTGCCCAGTGTGTATATACGTATATTTTATATCTGCATGCTGTTTAATGGAATCTCTGGCTCGACGGCGACTTTGGTACCATGGTCGAGGGGCACTTGCATATCACACGATAAGCTGACCTTAAACTTGCCGGCCCGCTTTTGTTGTTGAGAATTTAAATAAAGCAAGCAGCGGTCAACTTCTATGTGCAATTAGTTTTCCCGTGTATCTGTCTCCCTCCCTTTTTTTTCTGACTGCGTGGAAAGTCGGGGGCTTTTCATATTTCAGATTTCGTGGCGAGCTGGGCATCAGCAGGTGGTCCCCGCTGCACCGCCGCCAAAAGCTAATTGTGTTTTTCTCACATTTGCAGTTAGGCCAGGCACCGTTGTGTATCTGCGAGGTACTCGTACTCGTACTTATACTGGTACTCGTACTCGTACGCAGACTCATATGTGCGCTTAAAACAAACACACAATAAATTGCCTGTGCACAGCAGGCGACCCGTCTTCGGTGGTTATGTTTGATGGTGGCTTTCCTAGTGCTGGTTGCGGTGGTGCAGAGGTTCTACTTCCATTTCATTTTGCATGCTGTAAATTAAGGCAGGCTGCCCGATTGCGATTCCTGGTAATAGAGGAAATTGTTAGGATTCAGCTATTAAGTACGTATAATTGCTTGTTAGCGGTTGCGAATGAGAATTATATGCTCACTGGCAATTGCAGACGACTGGCGACTGCAAAGAGTTAGAAAACCCAAATTGAATCCACATCCAAGCACAGAGCATCAGCAATATAATTTCCCCGTTCACACACAAAAAAAAATAGTGATGAATCATCACTGCATTATAAATATAGTTTTTAAAATACTGCTTAGAAATATACAAACTTTTTGCTTGTTTCCTTTATAGCCAATCAATTTTAATTTACGGATTGAAGATTTGTTGTGTTCAGAACTTTACCACCCAATTTAGTTTCAGCCTTTTCGCTCAGTATACGGGTAAGGAATGCTTTTTTTTGCCGATTCCAAATGCATCCCATGGATCTTCATGGCGATTCTCGGGCATTGGGCTGTCATCGGTGCCATTGCGTTCGCCTCCCAGCGGCTACCTGTGTTTTCTCTCGCTGTCATCGGATCTGCGGCCAGTTATCTCACATTTGTATCCGCTGGCCGGCTATCAAGGTTGCATCGCCTTATGACTACCAGATTTTCAAATCCCCCAACCGGTTGGCGACTCTCATAGCCAACTCGACGACAACTGGCTCAGAGCTCATGCTTCATTAGACGTCACATTTGGCAAACTCCGCGAAGTGTGCAAAGCCTGCAGCAAAAGCAAAAGCGAAACCGAAAACGAGTCGTCATCTGGCAAGGAGATCATAATGCTAGGATCTCAGATACGGCAGATTTTCCCAGCTATTTTCGCCAGCGCGCCAAGTAATGAAGGCAAAGGCGCAGAAATTAATTTGCAAAACGAAAATACGGTCTACAAGAAAAAATCGCATAAATAAGCCAGCGTTTTGCAGACAGGTGCTCTGCCGTTATGGAATGGGGTGAGCTTTGAACAAAATTGTAACGCGCTCATGTAGATAAACAGTTGGGAAAGCCAAAACGTTTTGGAATGGACCATATGTGGGCTGAGCGAAGAGCTGCAGTGTCTGCAATTGCATTTTGGAGGAGGAGTAGTGGGCTGTGGGCTCAATGTGCAGAAATAAATGACCTGCCAGCTGCCAGTCGCTGTGGCAGCCTATTTGCTGTACGGTTGCGCCCCTGACACATTCAAGAATGTTCCAAGTTGCTTCCGAGTCGCTCATTCAAGTCGATTGTTTGCCCAGCGCAAACAACTAACTTTGACTTTGAGCCTGGCTCTGAAGTCTAAGCCAAACTGCTAAAAGCCAACAACGAATGCCGCCAAGCAGTCTGTTGACTGTTTTCAATACCAATTTGGTGGTAGCCAGCACAGACGCTGTTGTCTCGCTCGCATTAGTTTTAAATGCCACATTGGCATTGGACAAACATTGAAACATTGAAGCGGGTCAAGTCGAAGCTCAGATACCCTGGCTCTACTTCGCAATTATAAATAATCAAAAGAGTAAAGAAAAAAGTGCTTTAAACAACTTCTGTGTAATGAATTTATTTCATTTTCGAATGTCAAAAAACTTAGTTACCAGAAACTCAAAGAAGTTAAAATAAAAGTTATATATGTATTACTAATATTTTAGTTTTTTTATTTAAACAGAAGAAAGCCTTATTATGCTTCTATGAACCTTAAAAAATATTTATTGATTTATAATTTCAATATCTCAGATTACAATCTTATTTTAGCTTACTATGAAAAGGGTAATTAACAATAAAATTTAGATATTGTTCTTTAAACATGTTGAAATATATATCAAATAAATTTAAATATAATTTTATCAGTTAATTGAATTAATTTTAATTTTAAACAAATTAAAGTTGAATTTTTAAAATAGCGAATAAATCAATGTTTTGCGTTGTGTGTGTCTTTATAAATATCTTTGAATTATTGAATTTGTTAAAATCGATTTAAATATATAAACCTTGCTAAGCCTTAAAAACCAGTGAGTTTGTCGAGAATCAAATATGGTTTTCAGCCAGGAAATACAAGCTGGGAATTACACGAATTCTACGACATTTATTGTGTGCAGGCAATAGATCTTTGACCAGACTCAACAAGAGGCGATCTGCGAGATAGCCCCTGGCTAATAGCTGGTCACCAGCTGTGGACAGCTGTCCTCTGGCGTCTTGGACAGTTTGTCGCATTGTTTGCTTGCCCCTTGTTGTTTTTCTGTGTGCTCGCTGTTTGCCGTTTGTCTTTTGGGCCTAAGCGGCGTTAATGCGTACGGCAAACACTCGCGGGGACCACCGGCAAAACGGCAGCTGAGCAGGAGCTGAAGTTGGATTCGATATTTAAGTTTAAGTTGGAGCTAGAGCTGAAGCTGGAGGCTACCGTTAGTCACCGGCCAGGGGCTCTGCTAATTGGCCAGAAAGCAGCAAATAAGCTAAAAAGAGAGTTAGTGACTATGCGAGATACTGCTTGCCAGAAATTCTCAAGTAATTATGAAAGTTTCACTTTTTGCCAGGGGTTTTCTATGGTTTCTTTCTGTTTTTGTTTTGGGTGCCATGGCATGCGCCATTCCAAACAAGAGAAGGAAATTATGCAAAAGATACACAAAAAGCTAAATGCGAAATGCGAAATTTTTCAGCTGCCTGCCATTTTTGGCCTCGGCAAATTGTTTGCCCAGTTGTTGTCCGCTACTGCTAAGGCGATGGCTTCAAAAGTTGTAAATTAATAGGCGAAAATACGCGAAATCTCGACATAAACACAAACACAAAC